CCCACAGGCCATGCCTGTAACAGACCCTCTGGTTTGCAAAAAGACAAATTCCAGGAACACTGGCTTTTCTTCCAGAGGCCCCAGGTTTGATTCTCAGCACCCACATGAGTTCACAGCCTTCTGTAACTCCAGTTCTAGGGGTCTGACACCCTATTCTGGCCTTTGCAGGTACCAGGCACACAAGAAGTGCATGGAGGTACACACAGGCAAAACACCCATACACATTAAATGAATTAAGAATTTTTTTTTTTTTTTTGAGACAGGGTTTCTCTGTATAACAGTTCTGGCAGATTTTCTTTTTCTTTTTCTTTTTCTTTTTTTTTTTTAAGAGCAAATTCCCTAGCCCTGTTATCTGCCACCATCTGGGGAGAGTACAAGAGTGTGAGTCTGTGGAGCCCAGAAGAGTGGGTCCATTTGGAGGCCCCACTGCCCGCGTGTCTGCGGTCTGGCAGCAGACTCAGCACTCACCTGCCATATTTTCCTGACCTCTCCCCGCTGAGCGACCGTAGCCTCCCACATGCTTTGCTGCCCATCACTTTGATTTCAGGTCTAACTTTGAATGGGATTTTGGAAAGGTGGGTGACATTCCCGGGTCAGATAAGGAACTTGACTGTTCTCTAGAGCATTAGGGCAGGGAAGAGTAGGGACCCAGCAGAGGGATGGGTAGGTGTCATCCTAGAGATGGACTATTTGGCCCCAGAGTTGATTGGTATGGGCTGAATATGAATAACACTGGGGGTGTCAGCAGCAGCACCATCACCATCATCATCATCATCATCATCATCATCATCATCTGCAGGGCTGGGGGTGGAACCCAGGGCTTGCCCATGCTAGGCAATCACTCTATCACTGAACTACATCCCCAATCCCACTGCAGCTTCCAGGAGGAAATCCACACATTCAGCCGACCAGGATGTCTCCATGTCCCCCCAGCAGCCCTCCTGAGACCAGCTGCTGACAGAACCCAGAGTTTCGCTACCCTTGTCCTTGGATGCTCTCTGGGAAACTGGTGGTCCTGGAAGGCCCCAGGCACCTCTGGTCCCAATTTGACCGCAGGGTAAGAAACTGGGAGCAGAAAACCAGCTTCCCAGCGGGCGCTTTCCATCCACTCGCCTCTGGCGCCCCCCGCCCTTCCCTGCGGACCCCTCCCCCGCCCTGGGCGGCCAAGGTATCAGCTTTTGATGAAAAATTGCTCCTGCTCTATTCAGGAGGCGGCAAAAGAAGAGTCACCCCCAGGGGCAGCCCTGGGCTGATTGAAAAATAAGTTAATTTCAGTTTGAATCGATGGGCCTCAGGCACTGAAATATCACGGGAAATTAAAGCGGCTTCTCTCCCGGGAGCCACGGCATTGACCCGCACTAATTAATGCTGGGGAGGCAGTGATCGCCTCACCGTGAGCTGCTCCCCCTCCCCGGGGGACCCCAAACACTTCTCATTTAACTAATTAGACGGGGAAAATTGGGTGTTAATTTGTTTAGGATTTTTCCCCCTCTTCCCTTCGGCAGCTCCCTCCCCGGCCCCCGCCCGGTGCGGGGGCGCGGAAATGAATGCGGGGCTCGCCGGCAGATGGCTGCCCCGGTCACTCTGCAATCTTCTCCGACTTGATTGCTTGATTAGGTCGTTAGCACATTAAAAAAAAAAAATTGCTTGCCGTCTGGCGCTGGCGTGATGAGTGGGACGCGCGGCAGCGCCTGGGTAATTTATCTTTTTATACGGCAAAGAATTTGATTTCAATCTGCAGATATATGGGGCGCCTTTGACACCTGTTTAACTTCGCGCCGCTGACAGCTTAACCCTTTTGCTGCCTGGGCAGCTGGGAGCCAAGGCTGGGACGCGGGGCTCCGCGAGGCCGCGCTCACTGGCGTTCCCCGCCTTCGCCGCCAGGTGGCGCAGAGAGCGCGGATCGTCCCCCTAGCCGCATAGTCCGGTATAGTGCCGGCCACAGCCAGCAGGGGGCGCTCCTGGTACTACCCATCCAGTTAGGTGAGCCACAGGGATGCTCTCTTCCCCCTGGGAAAGCCCTCACGTTTCACACCACCTTAAGTTAACCCATATAGCCATGTTTGGGGACCTCTTCCTTTGCAAATAATCAGGAGCCTCTAGAAAGAGGAAAGGGCCGGGTGCAGTAGTGCACACCTTTAATCCCAGCCCTGGGGAGGAGGCGGCAGGTGGATCTCGGTGAGTTTGAGGCCGTTCCAGTCTACAGAGTGAGTTCTAGGCCAGCCATGGCTACACAGTGAGCCTCTCTCAAAAATAAATAAATAGAGATAAAATCAAAATGAGAACACCACTGCCTCAGAAGCTGTGATTCTCCCCCGCCCTCGCAGTGACCAAAAGCTTTAGAGCGCCACTGCTGGACTCTTCCTGGATGGCCGCACCAGCCAGAGAACCACACCTTTGCCACACACCACCTGTTGGAATCTGTAGCTTCTGTTTAGATCTGGGGAGCAAAGATACAAGCCCTCCTCCTGGTACCCCAACGCTTTGGGGAGCTCAGGGGGAAAGAGTTCATATAAAATGATGGCCACTAGGGGCTGGAGGTTAAGAGCACTGGCTATTCTTCCAGAGGCCCTGAGTTCAATTCCCAGCAACCACACGGTGGCTCACAACTGTCTACAGTGAGATCTGGCGCCCTCTTCTGGTGTGCAGCTGTACACGCAGGTGTAACCCTGTCTACATAATAATTTTTTTTTTTTTTTTAAAAGGTGATGGCCACTAGACGGCTGGCCTCTGTGCATCAGAGTCAGGAGCCATGAAGATGGCCTGCTTGTCCTGCCTTGGCCTCACTCTGTGTTTAGGTCCTCCCCAAGGCTGTCTGCCTGTTTTCCAGGGTGTCTGCCCACTGTCTGCCCTATCTGGTATGAGGTTTTTCTTCGGCTCCTCTTGTTCCACCTCCCATCTATACACGCTTGGTCCCTGTCTACAAAGTACCCATTTGTTCCAGGCTTCCTTCTTCCGACAGAGGCAAAATCTAAAAGGATTAACCTGTATGCAAGTATAAGTGACTTCCTGTTTCCTCGACCCCTTCAGACTAGACAGTGTATAACAGATGGTGACAGATCCCACTCACCAAAAATATGAATGGAGACAAGCCATATGCCCCCAGGCCAGGAGGTGGCCAGTCCAGCAGGACCTTTGAAAGTCATTGAGGTCATAGGTCCTTAAACAGGATCCCTGCAGCCAGAGAATATCTGGGATTTTAGAAACTATATGTAGCCTGGACTGGAGAGGTGATTAGTAGTAGTTAAAGAGCATGTGCCCCTTCAGAGGACCTGAGTTCAGTTCTCAGCAGCACCCACGTTAGATGGCTCACAACCTCCTATAATTCTAGCTACAGAGGTAACCAATGCTCTTTTGCAGCCTATCCAGGCACCGGCAACACACAGAAATAAAAACAAATCTTTGAAGAAAGTATATGTAGCCAGTCATGAGGGCACAGACCTGTAATCCCAGCACTTGGGAGGTAGAGGCAAAGAGATGAGGAGTTCAAGGCCAGACTCGGTTACAGAGGAAGTGTAAGACCAGCCTGGGTCAAATAAGACCTTGCTTGAAAACTTGAGAAGGAAGGAAGGATACATATAGCACATGTTAATGCCACTCTGCCCCCTGAGCACCACATCATCGTATCCACCAGCCTCAGTTTCTCCAGCCAAACTCACCCACACTAAGAGACTACACAAGGTCTGCTCTGCTTTTGCCACTAAGTGAGTTTTGATGCTAAAATCATTAAAGACCTT